CCCACCACTTTTCATCGGGACAAAAAAAAATAGCACGGCTGTTATGGAAGGAATGAAAAGCTATATTTCTTAATCCAGATTCATTATCTCGCCGCTGTCAGGGAGTCAGGACAAAAGCCGGCATTTATTCCTCTCCACTTACATTATCTTTCTCCGAGTAGCTCTTGATGATGGGCAAGGGGACATAATCTGTGCTGTGTTCCTTGGGCAGGATGGAGTTGATGCCCACTGCCTGGAGCCCCTCCTTAGCGTTGGGCGCACTCATATCATCAGCTTGGAAAATGAAAGGAAGCAATAATTCTTGTTATTGACATATATATATATGCGGAGATGAATGACGTCTTTGAAGATTAAGACAAGGGGGCGAGGTTACAGGAGATTAGAAATCCTGTCATTGGGTTCAGCGAGATAGAAGAATAGCGACAGTGTTAAGGCAGGATCTGATGATTCAGGCGCATTTTTAAGGACAGCATTTTGATTAATCAAGATTTTGAAAAAAAGCACCTTTGTGAGTGAATGTGGAAAGGTACCTTCATGTGGTTTTTCGTTTTTGTTCGAGTCTGTATTTTTTTAGTCACTTGTCCCTTTTTACCTTGTAAATAACCAGCGCTGATTCGCTAAAAGCATGATAAATGTTCAGAAAAGAGAAATATGGGATCTTTTTAAAAAAACACTTCGCCATCACACGGCTCATATTATAGTTAAAAACCCTTGCGATCACGAGCATTTTGGGGGAAATCCAAAGAAACTTAAACATCGCCCATTGGCATTTTGTGACGGAAGCGGAAGTTCAGCATTCTTGCCTCGCCGATCGGCGAAATATGACAGCAAAGTATTAATCACTCCATACATAATACTTATTATTGTTATCCTCTTTCCAATTTTCTCACTTTACACAGTTTTTGCCATTTGTAATTAATCAATTACAGCTGAAATTGTAAAAACACCTATATTTTAAATTTGAAAAAAAAAATTGAACAGAAATAAATGAAGAATGCCACTGCTGGTCTCAACAAAGATCCAGAAATCTCAGCGTTAAAAATTTCAAAGATCTAATCACCTTCTATTTTCAACAACAGGAAAGTCGCTAAGCAGCCACATTAAAAAAATAAACCAACAGCTTTTTGAAAAGAATATTGTATATTAAAAAGCAAGAGGCAATAAATTTTCAAAGTCCATTTTTGAGTTGGGGATATGTGCTGTATTCAATCTATTGTTATCATTATTACGGAAAATCTGTGCCGCCCAGAAAATGAGGATTCAAACTCTACTCTCCACACATTTACAGCAACCCAGGCCGAAATAAATGCAAGTGGATGAAAACAGCAGCTGGAATTATCCATTGAGCTCAGATCAAATTATCCTGCGGGATCCTCATGACAAGAGAAATGTTTTTTTTTTCATTCTTTTTTTTAAAAACTAATTTTTTTTATTTTTTGGGGTATCCGGGCTATCAATTTCTCAGGGAGACGATCCAAAAAAACCAAACAAAATCCTAATGGATGACATTTGGAAATCTGCAATTATGCACATGTGACAGGAACAGGGGATGAGATAGGAGAATCGGAGAGGCCTAGGGGCAGGGACGGCATGAGGAGGGGGGAAAAGAGGAGGGGGAAGATGGGAGGG